TCGCTTGCTCCCACTCTCACCCTCTCACAGACGTATCACTCTTGTTCNTCTCTCTCTCTCTCTCTCTCTCTCTCTCTCTCTCTCTCTCTCTCTCTCTCTCTCTCTCTCTCTCTCTCTCTGTGTGTGTGTGTGTGTGTGTGACATCTGTTCTTGTCTCCTACAAAGTGTGAACACTCAGGATTGTCGTAAACGCCTGCCAGGAAATTATAGAGGAGGGCGCGTACGCGGCTGACGTAAGAAATCAGGCTGCGAAGCTATAGAGAGGGAGGCTGGCTCTTTATCTTTCAGTTGCCGCTCCGCTTCCGCCTGTGTATGCAGTTGGCATAACGAGCCCGGTCGAACTACCATCTTCCCCGAAGATAACGCACCTTGATCACGAACGTATCCAAGCTATTTTTCAAGTCTGACGCAGTCATTGCCAGGGTGCGTTGTGTGCGGGGGAAGACTGTAGCAATGGCCTGCGCACGTCGAGATGAGAGCAAAGCAATGCAGAAAGAAGTCGCAAGACGTCGAATAGATCGTGGAGAGTTTGAATTCAAAGAAAAGAAAAAAGAAAGAAAGAAAGAAAGAAAGAAAGAAAGAAATAGAGATCCCCCACGACGCGATGTGCAATGATTCTCTACTTCTCGTTTCGCCCCAGACGGCATTCCCCTGCATCATCATATCTCGATTTGTGCGTATCGTCCTTGACTGCACAGGGGCCTGCTAATCTTCCCTATCAGTCCAATCGTGACAGATGAGAGGGCAAGGAGATTAAGATATTGTTCTATATGAGGACAAGGAGATAGGGAAAGAGAAAGCGAATCGAGACATGGAAGCAGAGGGGATAGGGAGCTGAAACAAAAGAGACAAGGAGGGTTTGAAAAAGGACCACGGTAGTATGTCTCGATCAAGTGGCCCAAAGAGAAAGAGGGGAGAGGGAGGAGCGGGAAGGAAAGGAGGGGTGAGCGGAGGAAGGAGGCGGGGGAAGCACTTTGGAGAAACGCTGAAGGCGTTGGCAGAAGTACGGGGCCAAGGACACGAGAGACGGCCGAGGACGGGGGGGGGGGGGGGGGGGGGGGGGGGGGGGGGGTGTGGAGAGAGAAGGGATCCCTGACGTCAGGAAGAGGCACAAAGGGGTGTCACGGCGACGGTACTTAGCAATCGACTGGCCACAGTGTCTCCTTGCAGACGCGTTCTTGATTTCTTCAGAAGAGGGAGAGTCCGTGCCAGGGAAGAGGGTGGTAAACACTTAGGCATTTTTGACGTACAAGGGAGGAATTGGCGGCAATAGGATTCGAGAGAGAACGGCGAGCGATTGTCGTGAGAAACAGACAGGAGGAGAAATCCGTTGGATTCTACAAGTTCTCAGACTACCGCCTTTCCAAACCCGTTTCCTCGCTCAGAGGTCAACGAAGGGTCAGAAAGACAACAGAGATAGATACGGATCGAAGCCACGTCAACAAAAAATTACACCGTCCCCCCCCACCCCCCTATAGAATACACGTCCATCATACCCAAGAGCCTGGCTCAATGGGTAGTACACCCATGACCTGTTGAAATACACACCTGTGTTCGAATCCAGATAATGGAACTTGACGAGTAAAACCAACTACTAATGAATTGCTTGGGGCCGGTCAGCTCAATGATAATATCTCAAGGCCGTCGGCCTTTAAAAAAAAAAAAAAAAAAAAAAAAAAATACACGCCCATTATAGCGGGGTATTCTGGGCAACTTTAGAGTCTAGATAAAGCGATAACGACCGTGCTTTCCATTCGCGGGGAACGACGGTAGGCGGGAAGGGAGGAGAAATCGACGGCAGAAGATGCACGAGTGCGGCAACCAATCGAGAAAGATAGGGATCGAAGCCAGGAAGACACGCTAACACCGTCCCCATAATAAAATGCACGGTCAGTATATAGCGGTGTTCTGCCCAGCTTTTTTCAGTATAGACGCAGCAACAACAGCCGTGTTTTCTATTCGGGGAACGAAGATAGGAGGGAGGGGAGGAGGAGAAATCGCCAGAAGATGCAAGATTTATCTCAACCATCGAACTGGAAGGAGGTGAAGTGACCCTCTCTCTCGCCCTCCCCCCTATCCCCCGACACTTTTGCCACTGAGATATCGCTTCGCGTTTCTGGTCTTCAAAGAGCCGATGCTTAATGGCATACAGCGAAGACAAGCCGGCCGATAGAAGGCCCGCCGCCCCACTACAACTCGGGGGTCTGAGTTGTGGTGGGTGGAAATTACGGATCAGACGCGGGAGCGACTGGCGGCGGGAAGTCTACGAAACCCGGGGAGAACAAGCCCACAAGCCGGCAAAGAAGGGGGGGGGAGGAGGGGGGGAGGAAGCGCAAAGAAGCGCGGCCGCGCGACCAGGGAGCCGGATCGATGGATGAATCTTTGACCAGCAACACAGAGGCCATCTGTTGATATCCTGGCAACTAAGGCATAAGTGGGACCACACCAATCCATCCCGAACTTGGTGGTGGAACTCTACCGCGGTGACAGAAAACCGGGAAACAGGAGAGAAGGAGGAACAGGAAGGAAGGGATTGCGTTCGTCGGCGAGATCGGAGATTTTGGCGCCGTGATTCTCTATTTCTTTACCTGGCGGCGGCGGCGGTACAGCGTCTTCTTAACAACGACCGGTCTCACCCAAATCCCCCCAGTGGAAACTCTTTCAATCAGAGATTTCTCACCATGGATATCTTTTACGAACAAAAAACAACCACACTGCGGATTTCAGCAATTGTCGACAATTGAACATTTGCAAGCAAATCAAGAAGGGAGTAGGCATTAATAACGGCAAGAGAACTATGCAAGGATGAAAACTAGGTATTGACATGCGTGAAATTACTCTCTCTCTCTC